AAAAAATGATAAAATAGTTCAGCCAAAAGAAGGTGAGGCTACAAAACCCTTGTGATATTAAATAGTCCTGCTGTCTCCAGTAAGATTTAATTACCTGCCCTCCTCCCTCTATGGTTTTATTGCCATGTTGCTACACTGACACATGGAACTATGGTCTCATGCTGGAGCATGCTGTAATATTATTCCCTGAAGCATTTCCTCTAGAAATGATGTTTCAGCACCAGGAAAACAGACTGGCTTGTGCTGACATGACATTGTCAGTACTTCTAGGAACTGCAGTGCACTGGGTTGGAAGGAATCCATTGGGAACAGGGTGGAAAGGGGAGAGGGTTTTCCTTTCCAATCTTCATCTTTCTTTTTAAAAGATTGATCCAAGTTATCATTCCTTCCCAAAATATTTTGCATCAGCAAGAATGTTTTTTCCTATGTTGTTTATCTCTGCTTCCTAGTTACCACCTCGTGACCTGATAACCTCTTTATTTGTGACCTGTTGTCATGGAAAGATATGTGAGGACATAAATAAAAGACCACCAGTTTTCAAACATATCTGGAAAATAGCCAGATGTATTTTTACAACTGTAGGAAAGACTCATCACTGAAGAATGGTCTCACTATTAAATGCTTAGGTTTATACTTTGCAAGGCTAGTGTTGAAACCTGTTCTTTAAACTAGAAGTCACTTATTTTTGCCAGATGCAGATAATTAGCTTGGGACAGTCCCAATATTCAGGGATTTTTCTTGTATAGGGGCCTATTGCCCCCACCCCTCCCTCTTCCCCCCCACTTGCTGTCTGGTCACTGTAGATGCAGGCTTATAATGACTGAATGCAATGGGCAAGTAAGTTCAAGACCATTGCAATATTTGGGAATTCAAATTGTGAAATGTTTGATTCCCTCTTTCTCCTCCGTTGCGAGATTTCTACCGTCAAACACAGAACTTTGCTTTTCCCTTAGAAGAATACTGTTTCACATGCAAGATATAGCCAGAGCCATCTCTTCCTGCTATTTCATTCCCCATTAAGAAATTTTTCCTGTTGCTGGACCCCTGAGCAAGCCATCACCAACACATGTAAACAGCTGCTCACCAATGTAAGGGGTTCACAATCAGATCCTATGTTAGGGAATAGGAACACAGTTTTCTTCATTAAGGCCCCCAGTCTTGTACTGAGCTTTGAAAGGGTGGGCCCTTGCCTCTTGCACTGGGTAATTTTGACTTCCAGGGTATATGCCCATCTTGCTCATTGCAAGATCACGGCTTAACTTAGCACCCCACTTGAAAAAGGTAACTTGTAAAGTTAGAATATCTATTTTCCTGGTAAACCTACATGCAGGAGTAGAATTACTTCTAACAGAGGACTTCCGTGGATTACTTCTGTGGAAGCAGAAATCAGTGAATCAAAATCAGTGTGTTGCAAACTAGGTCGAACTGCTGGACAAAATGACAAGGGGATGGGCTATTCTACCAACAACTCCCTTTATGGGCCCTTGAGGAAAAAAACTGGCTACTGGAATGAACTTCACCTCCAGGATGGTCATGTCCACCCCCACCTGCAACCCCAGGCCTGATTCCAAGAAATGTCCAGACCACCCCTGGCCAGAGAGAGAGAGAGACAGGTAACATTTCCACCTCTACCAGCCCCAGCTGAATTCCAAACGCCATCTGGGATGAAATGGGATTGGACTTTGACTACAACAACAGTTCCAGCCTCCCTCAACTAACTTCTGTTTTCCCCAAATGAACAGTTACTATCAGCTTGAATACCATTGAAGACACTGTCAAACAAGGGATTTTTCCCTTCAAAAATGCCCTCCAGCCAACGGAAAATGAAACACGGACTGTGGTTAAAATGAAAGGTTTATTTAATACTTTACATTTCAAATGTGTTAACTGTTTCTCCTTCTTTCCTGTATCTTTAAATAAAAAGGTTGAAAGGATGTTTGGTGATGTGTTTGCCATGGCACTAAGCAGGCTGAGGGTCTGTATGCTAAACCCTGAACTTCATTTAACACTATTTGATGCTGGAGAACATGCTAACATCATTGGGTGCCTATTATCTCTTTCAAAGATCAGAGCCTTTTCTCAGACTTTTACTAGAAGACCACAGGCTGGTTGGTGCAGGAATGGGGAAGAGACACTGCCTGATATAGCCTGTGCTTTGGGAATCCTGTTGGCCAGGATTCCTCTTAGGCAAGCCAGAGGGGGTGCACCATGGAAAATATTTTGCTTCTCTGAACTCCTCGGAGAAGAGCCTGTCTCTACCCGTGAACAGCCAGTGCTCACTGTTGACAGCAAGCCAGTTTCAGGGCTATAGGGAGCCAACCATGCTCCTCTTAAGACATGAAGTTAGGGCCAGCAATATCTTTCTGGCAATATCAAATGCTATATGCTGTCCCCATCTATTCCCATAGCCACAGGCTCCTTGTGCACGGCTCAGTTCTGTATGTGTGGCAATGTCTATATGAAACAGGTGAACAGCTCTTTTGACTCTGAATCTTCTTGTGAATACTGATTTTCCATCTCAGTATTCACGCTGTTGCAGATTTAAAAACTCAACAGTTTCAGTATTCCCATTGCTGGCACAAATCCACCCTCCTCCACCAATGGAGCAATGTGAGGAAAATGCAATGAGGTGTACTGACCCTAAGGCTTTTCCAGCAAAGAAAGCAACCCCCATATTTGTGGGGTTTTTTTGATTGTTTGTTAACTAGCAGTGTTAAGTTACCTTTCCAGTAGAAAAAAAAGTGTGATAGATTCCCCCATATTTGTGGGGTTTTTTTGGTTGTTTGTTAACTTAACACTGCTAGTTACCTTTCCAGTAGAAAAAAAAGTGTGATAGATTAATTATAATCATTTAATGAGAAACGCCAAGACTATGACCTGACCTACTCATTCTTTTGATTAGACTTTTGTATCTTGCAAGAGTTTTAAAACATTTAGGTAAATAAAAAATAATTTATCAGGGCTAATAATATATATACACCATGTAAGGGTCCAATATGATTTGGCATGCACAAGATAGAAACAGGAGGCTTTATGATATAAAAAGTAGCTCAACATTAACATTTCTCTTATGAACAAATCATACACAATTGAATAGAAATAATAATGTTTCTATACATTTATGAAATATCCCATAGAATGTAATGGAAATTTGTCTCCCTACAGACATCTAGAGGATGATTTACAAAAACTACACAACAGATATGAATTCTCTTCTTAAATGTCACAGCTTTTAAGAGTACCCTCCTATAGAAGCTAGTTATCTGTTTATAGACCCCTATTGGTTTTATTAATTGATTTAATTTATGTATTTATTAAGTGTTACAGGACTTTCCCAAAGGGTTCCCTGCACTATATTTGTTGCCAGCAAAATATTAATACATGACTGATATGATGGTTTTATGAATGAAGAGTTCAAATCATAGGAGCTAAATGGGTACCATGGGCTGAACAGATACTTTTGCGTGTAAAACTGGCAGAAAAGAAAAAGAAAAAGAAAAAGAAAAAGAAAAAGAAAAAGAAAAAGAAAAAGAAAAAGAAAAAGAAAAAGAAAAAGAAAAAGAAAAAGAAAAAGAAAAAGAAAAAGAAAAAGATGGTCCTTGGAAGGGACATTTGTTAAAATTTCACCACCTCCCCTCTCTGACTGGCAATCCCTGCTAAGGAGAGATTTCCATGTGGAATATCCAAACAGATCAAGATTTACGCGTACGGATATTGACAGAACTGTGAGAAGAAAGCCTATACAGCACCTGCCTCAAGCAAATGCAATTAGTTTCTCATTTTTATGGTCATGGAACCTAACAACAGATGTTTAAAGAATAAAAAAACCCAAAGGAAACCATCCAGACAGTTAATATTGTATGGCTAAGAAGTCTGTTGTTATGCACTTGCTTCTTGGTCTCTGTTCCCTCTTAAAATGCTTTAACTATAATTTATCTCTTCTTTGATTTCATCAATGAGATTTAAAATCAATAGAAGACAGTGCATCTTCAAGAGTGGTTTAATCTACAGATTTTATATGCCCCTTTTGGGTAACTTACATTGTATTATGAACAGAAATGGACTCTCTGGGTCCAGTTGAGCTCAAGCTGCAAAACTGGGATGTAGTTTTAAACAGACCCAAATTTAGGGCTGGCAGAATCCAAGCTTTAGGGCTGACAGAATCTAAGCTTGGGGGCGCATCTCTTTTTACACATTCATAATAGTGGAAAAGAGGAAAGAAAATAGACTTGTGCTATATAAAGATAGAAGCAATACAAAGAAGAGACATAATCATAGTTCTCTTCAACTTTTTCTTTCACCTTCTCTTGGGCAAAGGAAAGCCTAGCTGATTATAACTGCAAAACTTATTAAATGGGATTTCCAGTGCCCTGGCTCAATTGACAATTAATCTGTTTTGCCTTTTGCCTGTCAGGGTTTTTCCATGCAGTGGGCTCTTGTTTGCTATGAAAGTCATCTGAGTATTTGTTAGTATCATAGCCAGAGCCAGATGATGTTTATTCTGTTAACATCCAGTTGGAGTCCAGCAGCATTGGACGAGGTCAAGGATATATTTATAGAAGCAGCTATACATCAGGACTCATTTTCTTTCCCTCACACTAATCTACCTAAGCTCATCCAAAATAGAAAGAAACATGCAGACACGCAACTAATATTCTCATTGGGCTGGATCCTCCCCTGGTGTAAATTGGTGTAGCACCATAGAAGTGAACAGAACCACATTGATTTACATCAGCAGAGACACTATTATTATGAAAAGGGGGGAGGGGAGGATGACTGAAATCATCAATAACAACAATTAAAAAAAACCAATCGGGTCTGGCAAAACAGATTTGCCGTGAAAAATCGCCAGCCACCTATTCTGGGAGTTGCTAAATGTGCAATCAAGGATTGTTCCTCCTGTCCCCTCAATTGCTAGAACATGTGAAAGTTGGGCTGCAGAGGAAAGATCCAGCCAATAAAAGTAACAAAAAGAGACTTAATGCAACATCATCATTTACCTGATGAAATGGGGAAGACGCTGTCCACGAATGAAGTGTGAGATAGAACAAAGCAGAAGAAAAGCTGAAGATAAAATCCCAAAGCTATTAAGCTGAGGACGACCATGCTGGCTGCACTCTGTAAAATCCCAACTTAGAGACGCAGGTCTGCTCTCAGGATCTCTCTTTCTCTCCACTGTCTTCTCTGCCTGTGTCTGTCTCGCTTGCTCTCTCTTCCCCCTTTGTGTGTGTGAGAGTGTGTGTTTGTGTGTGTCTCTCTCTCCTGCTCTCCTTCTGTCTCCCTGTGCCTTTAGGAAGAAAGAATGCCAATCATTTCCCATTAAATCTTCTCCTTACACTAGACAGGGTTATATTTAACTCAAGCAGTGGCTCAGATGCCCCCACCATGGATATTAGCTATTAAAATCATGGCGTTAGAGATTTTGTTTTTGTTAGCAGAAACCAAAAGGCATTTTGGGTGACAACAACAAGGAGGAGGAAAGGGAGAAATTGTAAATTGAACCATAAACAGCATCCCTTGTTACTGATAACCAGACACAGACATCAAGATAGAGAAACTCCCAGACTGATCCTCTTTGCATGATTGAAAATCAGAGATATGTACATAATGACATAATAGCTCTACATAACTCAGGCTGCTTAGCATTCCCTTCCATAGCACATTCTAGCCAGAGAGATCCCAAAGCACACCCCAAACTATTCAGCAGTATTCTTATCAATAAGGATGTAATGAAAGTGACCATATCACTGATGGTGCTAGGCACTGTACAACTATATAGTGACAAAAGACAAGCCCGGTCTCCAAAAAGCTAACAAAGTTGGTAACTGACAAGATGCAACATGTGGATGAAACAACAGCAGGAGTAGCTGTAGAGTGCCACTGAAATTACACACAAACTAGGCAGGGGGATATGGCTGACAAAAATACTGCACACCAGAATAAGAAGGGAAATTATGTGGCCAAGGAAATAGAAACAAGTCCTCACTCTTATGAAAACTGACACTCATCTTTACTATCCACATAGGAACTTACTTTTTAAAAGGTCTCATACCTACTCCTGTTAACAGAGCTGTGCAAAGTCATTCATACAGTCAAGCTAACTAGTGGGGGGTATGGAGGGGGGGGGGGGGGGAGGAGGAAGGGGTGTCCTCAGACTGCTCGACTTGTGAAGCTTTCACCTTTACCAAGAACCATTCAGTGTTTTCTATAGAAGAGTTATCGTTGTTGATGAAAAACAACATTAGCTCCCCCCATAAGAGATATTTCACTTCTGTGCAAACTTCAGATGGTTTCTCTTTGGTCCCCGGGCAAACACAGAAACACTTTGGATTCCTTCCAGACTTGGATTTTGGCACTTATCACACTGCAGACAACACTGAAGACAATGACCTGTCACCTTCGGTGCCAGTTCTTATGGAAAACATGTGAAAAACATCACTGACATGCGAAGAGCTAGTTTATAGCTTCGTTTTTTATTTTCAGTATAGTTCAAATACAATCGGTGGAACTTTTCTAAATGATATTTTGGAAATCAAAACGGCCATCAGAAGAAACAATTGCACAGGACTTCTCTGTTTGTGATTATTAAGTCACAGTTATGTCTCCTCTTAGAGACTCTCAAGATAATATTTTTAAAAATTGTTTCCCCCTACTGCAGGGGTGGCCAACCCATTAAACAAAGAGAGCCGAAACAGCGGCAGGGAAAAAACCAAGAGCCGCACAATAATTTTTTTTTGAGCAATTTTTGTTGAGCAAAAAGAGAAAAAAAAAGGAAGAGCTCCCCACCAGCCCTCCAGAGTTGTTGAGAAAAAGAGAGAGAGAGAAAAAAGGATGCTGCCCCTTTAAAAGACAAGGCTTTTTGGCCACATCAGGCTCCCACTGGCCGCCACCATCTTGGCGATGCCATTTTGAATCACTGAACCAGATGGCTCCCCTGCTCTGGTGAACACAGGGGGCCGAGGGCTGGGGACCATTTCTAGGGGTGCAGGGGTGGCTTCGAAAGCTGCAGGGGAGGCTTCACAACGGGGGAAGAGCTGCATGTGGCTCACGAGCCGTGGGTTGGCCACCCCTGCCCTATTGTAACACTTTACAGGATTAAAATTATATTTGTTTAAATCTCATTTACTTATTACCATTTTGCAGTTTGTTCACGTTTGCATTTCACCAATTTTAGACAGAGCCATTTCACCTTTGGCTGTCAGGGATATGTATTCATTAATTATCATTAACTTTCTTGGCCCCTTGCACCAGGTGGAATATGTCAACCCTGCAAAGGGAAGGTGTGATCGCAACACAAGCTAACACAGGTAACGATGGCAAAGCAGAAGTGGCAGCACAATATTTAGCATGGGCTAAGATCCTGGTTATAAGCCCAGTTCCCTGATTATGTACTGTGGTTGCTAGCCAGTGCTGAATCCCCTGCCACCACGTTTATGCTGCTTCTGTGACCCATACATTAAAGCTAATACGGGTATGCTACAGTCATACCTGCACTTTGCAGTGTAGACATGCCTAAGGAGTTTATCATTTAGGACTCTAATTCTGCAGAAGAATCCTTCTAATAGGACTCCTGATAGGTATATGGGTTTGCAGTGGCAGGTCCCTTTGGAGGATCATGGCCCAAATTAGGTAGATGGTAAAAAATGACCAAACAAAGAGGCAGTCTGAGAGTTTATCTCACTGCAGAGGAAATGTGTAAATAAAGTAAAACAATAAATGACAATAAAAATAATATAAGTTGAAAAAACAATCTTGCAAATATTTTTAGTAATCAGACATATCATGCCATCTGATCCACTACTATGGAGGCTGGAACAGGGTGCACACTGGGTACCAACATAGGCTACTACTTCACTGAAGACAGCATAGCTGAGAAGAAATCCAGCAAGTGAGGTCATGTGTACACTACAGCTGTGCCCCTGTAAGGCCACAGTGTAGATTCTTCCTACATTGACGGAAGGGGGTTTTCCATCTATGAAGTTAATCCATCTCTCCGAGAGGTAGTAATTAAGTCAAGGGGAATTTTTTTCTGTTGACCTAGCTATATCTACCCTGGGAGTTAGGTTGACATAACTACAGCACTCAGAGTGTGGAATTTTTCATAGTCCTGAGCAACTGTAGCGAAGTTGTATAATTTTTAAGTGTAAACTGGGCCTCAGTGCTACCTGCAGTTAACCCTTTCAATGTCATCCATCATTTTTCTCCCTATTTTTTTTAATGGGGAATTCTGCTTAAAAATTGTTACACAAGGACCTCTCACTTCAAGATATTTTTGTGAGCAATCGCCTAGGTAAATTATTTGTAAGCAAAATCTGGTGCAAAAGACAGCAAAAACTGCAACGGAAAACACATCCACCCTCATAAGTACAGGATGTTTTCTTTTAAACGCAAAGGGGACTTTTCATCACTACATGGCAAGTAGTGATTGGAAACTCAAAGGTAACCTATGACCCTCAGCATGCCTAAGAGCTCCCAGATGAAGTCAACCAGCCAGGTCTTCTCAAGGCACAAATGCTGGGATTTCGCTTTATTTTCATTAATGGCCCAATCCTACTGAAATTCATGGCAAAACTTCCCTGATGTACAGGGGGAGAAGAATCAGACCCTATGAAAATGAAATGGTGACATTAGTTGAGTGAGTAACAAAAACCCAGCACTAGGACAGAATGTATCGTAGAGGCTAGAGAAAGTCTCCAGGCAGTGAGGCTCCTCAGTCAAATTGTTCACTCCCTCAGCTACTCTGTTTGGACTTGATCCCAACCCTGCAGAAGTCAGTGGAAAGCTTCCAATCGTGCTTAATGAGATTTTGGATCAGCCCTTTAGTACAGTGCTTTGGCAAGGTTTGGGGGATTTATATAGTTAAGCCCCTATCTATCACCCAAAGGACAATGAAGCCTAAATAGAGATCTTTCCCCTTTATCTTATTGCATCTGCTGTTTACTGGTATGGCTAAAATGCCTATTAAAAGTGATTCATAGACCCAGCCCCCACAGTGATCCCATAACTTTTTTTACAAGTCAGTTTTTTTCCATGCACTGATGCTAGAGGCAAGACTGAACTGGATGTGTATTTTATATGATCCATATTTACATCTTGCCTGAAAAGACTGTTCCAACAGCAGAACTGCTATGTATATGCTAGAAAGTACACAGATTTTCTAATCTTTAATTTCATTAGCTTTAGGAAAACACAACAGAATCCCCCATCTTGCAGACCCTTCATTACATGAGGTTCCCCAAGTGGGACTATTAGATTTGAAGGATATAGTCCAAATAAACTGTTCCACAACCATGATCCTTAACACCAGTGCAAGCTTCAGTCTTCTGATCCACTATGGCAGGGTATATCAGCATTTTTATTTCAGGGAATAAACTGAGCCTTTATTTGATATTATATTAACTAAGTAAAAGTCAACACTCCAGCTAATCTCTGCAGCTAAAACACAACCTAGCCGGTACCTGACCTGTTCCAACAGTTGTCTATTGCCCTTTTCAGCTCAGAGCTGAACTCTTGAAGGGAGGAGATGGTGGAGCCCTATTGATCAGTCCTTCCACTGAATTTATGAACCAGTCCTTTCTGTGCATGAATGAATGACAATTCAATTAAAGAAAAGGCTTCTTCCCAGTCCCATGTACTTTCAGTGGGCAACTCCTTTATCTACAGACCAAAGAAGGATGAAGGCAACTAAACAAAACCATCAGTAATCTCAAAGCTCTGTACAATCACAAGTTTAAGTAAAGAACAAAGTCAATAAAGTCTTTTCAGTTCATAGGAATGAAGGATCTTCAATAGTGTGACGGGGTAAAATGAGAACAAGACACAGAGTATTAAAACAATAATTTAATATGCCTTTTAGTCTGCAAAGTAAGCAGTACAGAAAAATTATATTTATCCAATTAGAGGAGAACTGGAAAAGGTAATTTATAATTGTTTTCTTGGCAAAATATTCACATAGTATTAATTTAATGCTAGCCATTTTTAATAACAAGTACCTGATTTGTGTGTGTGTGTGTGTGTGTGTATGTGCGCGTAAATCAGGTCCATTTACCAACATGAATGCCATATGATATAGCCAACATTTTTGTGGAAAGGTACTACCTCCAGGCACAACCCATCAAAATCAGTTCCTGAAGTAAACTAGGCAACAAAAGCAAAAAGCAAAGAATGGTCTCAAACACTCCCCTGTTATGTTTGGAACCAAATGCTCTGGAGCCACAGTAGAAAAAACAGACGCCTTAATAATGAGCTAAATCCAACTATACGGACAAGAAAGTTCTGGCTTATTCCACATCTG